GGGTGTCATACACACAGATACTGGGAGTTGACATATGCGTATCGCTGTGGAAGCAACGAAAAATACGAGAAGTGCACTTCAACCATGATAGCGCAGCACTAAGACAGTTTGGTCTGAGCTGATGTTTATAAAACAAATTCGTTACTCTGCTATTACGCAACGTTTAACAGTTGCCAGTGGATGACAGGAATGAATATTTTAGTACATTAAAGCTTTTTGAGTGGCGCGCATACTTTCCCGAACTGCTTGCTTGCTTACACGGTGGTCTCGCAACCATCATTTGATTTTTTGCCGGGCTCGAGCCTCTGCTCTGCACTCCTGAAATTGAAAGTGAAAACGACTGATTTGAATTTAGATCTATATTTGCAAAAAAGTCTCGCACGAGAGTTGTTTTATAGTACCTAGAAGTCCTGAGTTTACGCGATCTCGGGCATGAGGCTCTAGCTCCGGATTCAAGAGTGATTTCATAAACCTTGTCATGTAAAAGGCTGTGTAGTAACGGACTTCTAATTTTCTTATTCATAAAGTTAATTGATTTAGAGAATAACACACACACACTCCCATTCACACCACAAATTCACTAGCCCCCGTATCAATACTTCCTGCTTTTAAAGTACACAAATATACATTCATTCCCTTTCCCTGAAAAATTTTTGATTGCTGACTATAGGTCAAAAGCTTGCTGGCTTGTCTAATTTTGATATAAAAACAGACACTGTTGCGCATCCTTTTTGCAATAGCTGACTGTGCAAGTTCTGCAGTGATTTACTTTTCATTGATCCTGTACTTGAAACAAGCAACAAAACTGTGAATCAATGCGAGTAATGAAATTAGCCCATATCTGCGCATGAAAGAACAAGTCAGGGAATCTTGGAATTTGAAAACTGACTTCAAGCCACTTATTTCAAGTAATGTGGTTAGCTAAAGCTTCTAAGTTTCGTGCTTTAGCTTGCTCTACTCTGAGTTTACAACACTGCGCCAATTTTCGCAAAAAACACTGCAAACATGAGCGTACGTGTTAAACTGTAAAACCACAACAATTCATAATATTATCAACCCGACTGCTTCAAGTTCCACGCAAAAACGCATAATCGCACCGGAATCTGCTGATTATTTATTTTGCAAATGCATAATTAAAGAACTGAGATGTTGTAAACATACGTTGTTTGAACTTCTTGGCTAACAGTGATATCTGGCATTTGAACAGGTTCAAATTCTCCATCTTCTCGTAGACCACCCCACGTTCGTCGTTTATGGGCCAGATTTTCATCAGCCATTCTCCTGTTTTTTATCTGAAATTTGTTGCAGTCATAATCCAAACGTTTCTTATTTTATGAAGGAATTGAATGGGTGTATATATTTGCCTCTGTATTTGCCTCTAATCACATCCTTAAATACAAAGAATTGGCAAGAATTTGCTAAGACCATTGATGCATTAACAGGTGTTGTGTATGTTGGCGATTCTGATATTCATACAGTCTTCGATTTTTTTGTTTCTTCTTTTTGGAGGAAGTGACAGAAGTCGTAACACAACGTTTCATCACCGCATATATGTATGTATGTATGTATGTATGTATGTATGTATGTATGTATGTATGTATGTATGTATGCATGTATGTATGTATGCATGTATGTATGTATGTATGTATGTATGTAC